AATCAGTGTTTTTTACTGAGCGCTCCGATACTCCAAATGATATCTTTCCGGCAATCAGCCTATTTGCAGCATTCGAATTTATCTTAATTTCGTCGTCACTCTTTGCTTTCATCCAGAAGACATTGCTGCGGATTTTGATGTGATCAATTTAAGAAGTGAATTGAGCAGTCTCCAAGCGATTTTCAGGATTTCCTAATCTACACAGCCGAAACCGACCCTCTTCATTATCCGTTGCCAGCACCGAAAGAAGCATCGAATGCGCTCAAAATTGAAACACTGAAATTGGTGAAGAAATGGCATCAGAAATTCGCATTCGCTTATCCAAAACTCAATCACACCGTCCAGTTTTTGCGGTCATCGAAATCGTTCAACTTTGAAGAAGCTGATGCTCAACTCGAGGTACATATGAACAGTCTCTTCTTATAAACGAAAACAAACCAGTTCCTTAATTCAAGTTTTAGTTTCTTATATTTACGATTATTACGAAAACTTATGAACGGTAGGCTCACTGAGAAGTGTTTACTTGAAAAGTCAGCACAGTATATCGTAGTCTACCGCCCACATTCATGCATTCACCAGTGGGTAGTAGCGGTAAAATCTCGGCGATGAAAGTGAAGTAAAGTAAAAGTTTGAATCAAAACAGGCCGAACGAGTTCGTGCAGAAGAGGCCCAGCAAAGACTGGAGGCGAGAGGAAGACGATGCCTTGAGCTTGTAACGAATCAGATGAACGAAAAACGCGATGATATCGAGCGATGTATACATGAGGCGAGAAATGCCCTCGAGCTGCTCGTACCCAAATTCGTTGATCCGAACGATTTGGTCGCCGATTGTCCTTCAGAATCTTCCTTTCCGACGACGAACGTTTCTTCGTTGCGAAAGGATGCAGAACAAGAGGTTAGTTTTTTTCGGGTCGTATTGATTCATTCTTTGAGATCAGCCGATTATGAAAACTTTTATTTATGCTGATATTCGAGGCTAGTGAATTATGTGAGTTGACGAATCAGATCTAGAATATAGCTTTAGAATGCGGTAGGTATTCGACGACATTGAGACTATAATCAAGTTCCATTCCTTATTCAACTGCTAATCAATTGATATTTGGAATATATCATCCAAAATATTTCATATTGTCAAGTTGATTCGGTGAGATATTCTAGTGGCCAAATCTTAGAATTCAGCTGGAA